GGACGACCCCCGAAGTCCTCAGGAATTATTTAACGTCGCAAACAGGACGACGATCACAGCCAATGGAAGGTAACCCCGCCGGTATTTATTTATAGACATCTGGTACTCGTCTCCCCTGTAGGGCTGGCCTGTCCCTCATAACCCATCTACAGCGCAGCAGGCAGATAAAGGACAAAGCAGCAAAGCATGCACGTTCTACTCTCGGTGTGTTGGGGTTGTGACCATGACCCAGTGCTTCGTCCAGGGCCCTTCAGATAGCTCCGCCCTCTCCTTCCAGATGCTCCACGTGAACAATGCCGACTCTGAAGGTTGAGCGCACTCGACTCCTCACATGAGAGGACTCTCAAGACAAAACACACATCCTCACGGTAAGAAGTGTTGAAGAGGGTAGATAAGGTTAAGAGCAACGTACCTCAAAATAGCTGCCCCCAACCAGAGATATTCTGACCAGATGACCTGACGCCGATTGTGATGACCAACCATTGCTTCGGCACAACCAGCATTACACCGCCGTTCCACCTCACCATCAATCGCACATCAGATAGTTCTCATCACACTGCGGACACCCAATCTCACCTCGTAGCCTTCCTGGCGATACCCCTCTCGACCTGGGTCGCCTGCTTGCCTTCGCCCTCCTCACTACACACTTCCTACGGCCGCTCACCCAGCAGACCGCATGCATGTACCGCATAGGCAGAAGACAAGCGCCAGATTAGCGCAACGTACCACAGCTCTGATACCAAAATGCAAGGAAAATGAGCGAAAGCAAATTCCAGAAAGCCAAGCAGCATCATACACACGAAACCAGATAGTCGTGACCTCGAACCGAAAGCAGAATTGCAACACGAGTTCCACCAAATAAGAGCACAGCAAAAGCTCACAAGTGACAATGTTGATATAGTCTCATCATCATCAACAATGAACCAATGTCGATTCCCTATCTGGCGCTCGGCGCCCAGACTACGAATGGCAGATCCTATCTAGCCTATCTACAATGCCGCTGGTGACGAGCAGATCCTATCTAGCCTATCTACAATGCCGCTGGTGACGTCAACAGCTCCCTGAAGTACGAACAGATCTCGGCCAATGCCATTCGCCTCAAGCACCAGGTATGTCTCACGCATCACTCACAACCTCGATCCCCCACACAGATGCCACGTGCACCCAAGGACCACCATGCGCCCCATCCAGCGCCTCACAGGCCAGCTCGGCTATGGCTGCCTGTGTGTCCCTTGCTCGCCCGTGAGCGCGTGGGAGCTTGCCTGCCAGCAGCGCAGCAGCGCTTGCGTAGCATGTAGCAAGTGCGCGAATACCAAATGCAAGGCAGGCACTTTCAAATATGGAAATGGCCTGCCTGCTGCGTGCTGCCTGGCTGCGCTGGGCCCCTGCCCAGAAGCTTCCGGTAGGCCCCAAGTGGCTGAGCCCCGGTCCAGGGGAATCAGGCACAGGGCCTGGGGCGCTTACCCGCATCCAACTGCCAGCGGCCTGTGGGCAGGTCATGCCCCATGTCTAGCCCAGAGCCTGCCTCAGATACATTTGAGAAAGGAAGGCAGGGCCTGGGTTCTCTCAACCGACTGACGCTGCGCAACTGCCTGAATTTCCCAGTTGCGTGGTAAGCCCAAAATGGGCCTCTCGGCCTTGGTCGGGCCTGCCTTCACTTAGGGCCGCCGACATGGCTGAAAACAGGGCCCAGCAGGGCTCGGCAAGGCCCCTTGAGCCTCGCAAATGTATGTGGTCCATTAATAGTCCAAATACGTGTCGAGTGTTTTGTAGTGGAGTGAGGCCCAATGTATAAGTGTGGAAACTCGTTGGGAAAACATCGAGGGCATACTCACCCGAGGACATTTTGGACTCAGCTCTGCCCCTAACTGCGGTCAGATACATCTGTCGGGGATCATAATTGGAGCCAGATATACATCTAAGAAAGTGCTAGTGTGAGTACGCTCGGAGGTAGAAGTAGGATGAGGGGAAAACAAGGGATGGACATTAGTGTATGTTTTTTCTGAATGTCTGGTTGGAGGTAGAACACGGGTTCCTCATTCTACGGCAGAATGTTCGTTCTACCCATGTTCTGTTGCCAGTTCAACGTGATAAAACACGCCCTGGCAAATGGGGTGGAGGCCCATTGGGGGGATTATAGGGGTATGTGGAGCGGGGGTAGTTGCATACCCCCTCCTGCAAATTCTGTTTTCTGAATTGAAAAAAAAAAAAGAAACACCAAGGGAGTTGAAAATGCCGGGGAAGGGCAGTGATTTCAGTCAGGTTAACTCAGGCCCCCGCCCTGTTTTGCCGGTTTGGGGTGGGCCCTGGTGGGGGTACTGGAGTGGCTGTTGGCAATGGCCATAAAGTGGACCGCCGCCAGGGCTTGCACACCGAGAGAGAGAGAGAGAGAGAGAGAGAGAGAGAGAGAGAGAGAGAGAGAGAG